TATTTCAGGGTATTCCACTGACAGGTTATGACCTCCTTCCATTACACATCATCTTTATCTTCCTGAACATTGTGATGTGGATCTCCCTGTACCATGCTAACTCTATAGACCCGGGCTTCTTACCCAGGAACATTCCAGAGTATGACATGGCCATTAAACAGGTGAGGAGTGCTTTAAATGTACCTCAGTTAACACAGTGGTTGTTATGGATTTATATATATATATATATATATATATATACCATGTAGAGAGAATGCAGTATGATACCATTGAGCAAGTCAATTATTTTAACTGAAAGATCCACTTTCAAATTTAACTTTGAAGTAGTTCTGATCCAACTATATTTTTACATGAAACTTCAAATTGACTGTGAATCAATTCACAATGACTGCATGTATTACTATATACATTTATCTGTTTCTCCATGTATAACTCTCTCTCTATATATATATCTTTATAAATATGTAATAGGTGGCTCACTTTGCTGAGTGGAAGCATGGAAAGAACCCTCTAAGTCGTCTATGTCACACATGTCGTACAGTTAAACCACTTCGCTCCAAACACTGTAGGATATGTCAGCGTTGTGTGAGTGAGTTTGACCACCATTGTCCATACATCTACAACTGTGTGGGCTATAATAACAGGTAGGTGCCGGCAGAGAGAGGGAGGAGTTTTGATAACGGTAACTCTGTTGAAAGAAGTGGTATCTAGGGTCTTGGTCTTCTCAGTGTATGAATGGACCATGATATATTAATTCAGATACCAAATTAATCTTGTCCATTGCCAGTATTTTCTCTCCATTCATGTGGACTAAGGTCTCCATTCAAGCTTGCAGTTGGGAAGAGTCATTACTCTTAATCTTGCAACAGTCACTACTTCTGAAAAATGTTGCATCTTGTTCACATAAAACACTCTGGCTTCAGAGTACTGACAGTGACTTACCTTCACCATACATGTGCTTGCAGTGAACATTTTAGCTGCATGTGGATGGTAGAGGTATGCTTACCTTACACCCCCTATATCTCCACTGAGGGTGTATATAGGTAGAACTGATGCACAGTGAAGCAGACTTCTCAGCTGGCAATAACACACAGCTTGCTTTATTTTATTTTATCATGCTTTTGATTATTTGCTGCTTAAGAGCTTCTCTATATTATTTTAATAACAATGAAGATTTGTTACTTATGTCCACATATTTAAGTGTTAATGAGTAAACTATGTAATGCTGTATTAACTGGTAAAATCTGCGGAGTACTGTGGCCAGTAGACTGATGAACAAAATTTGCCAAAAATGATCCATTGGAAATTAATGAATGGCGGAAATGAAAATTAGAGGAAGAAAAAAGGGGGAATGCAAATGTAAAGAAAAGAAAATATTTATTATATTATGTATATCTGTGGCACGGTGGTACATAAGGGGGTAACACAGGGCTTAAAATAAACAATCCTATTAAAATTGGGTTATTTATTTTAATTTCACACTTCTGATGTCTAGAATAGAAACTTTCTGTGTGTCTTTCAGTTCTAAAACACCTGTTTCCCCAGTTCACCTGTATCTCTTATACCAATGAGAAATATAAATTTATGTGATTTTGATAATGATAGAATTTGATTTTCTAATGATGTCATACGCATGCTATTTACGTTAGCTTCTAGAAATAACACTGCCATTAAAGCCTACTCAGCAATTCCCAGGCCCTGGTTTCACAAAAAAAAAAAAAAAAAAAAAAAAAAAAACTTAATCAGTTCCAGTAGTTAACATCTTTGTTACATGGTCACAACTTATCCTATCAGGAACAGTGTTACAGAACTCTCATGAACATCCTAGTCAACTAAGCCAGGGAACATCCTAGTCAACTAAGCCAGGGATGACTTAATTTTTTGTGTGTGTGTGAAACTGGAGAAGAACTTTGTATCAAAATTGAGGGATTATATCAGATCTTATGGGTCTCCAACAAATTCTCCATCAGAATGTGCCCTTGTCTTGTATTGGTGTTTTCTTCTTTTCTTGTTTTAGATACCAGCACTGAACCATATATAGCACTCTTCCTTTTGCTTTGTATCTTTGCTATAGCTCCTTATCAGAAAACAATTTTATTAGTTTTTTTTCTAGTGTTAGAGTATATTTCCTATCGTAGAAGGCTATAGGGGCTGTTTCACAACTAAACCAAAGGTATTACTGCTGTGGTTAAAGTTTGGTTCATTTGTGAACACAGCCATGTATAGACATATAAAGCCACACCTTAATTAGTACACTCATTTGGTAATCATTAAAACTGAAGTGAGTGCAAACCCATACTTAAATTTTGTGCCTGAATTATGTTCTATTTTTCTTATGATTATAGGGTTTGGTTTACCATGTTTGTCTGCCTGGTGTTTGTGAACTGTGTTATCACCCTGTATTTCTGTTACTGGATACTGGAAGCCAATGGGTGGGATGATTACATTACCATTATTGGGGGTCTGGAGGCCACTCTGTTCACTTTTCTGGCAGCTGTCCTCAGCAGTGTCTCGGTAAGCTGACTGATCCTTGAGATCACACGAAAGGCACAGTGCACTCTGTCTGCTCATTTACATTTGGATTAGAAAGATTGGGGGTTTATTAAGTTTATGATGAGACGGGATACTGGGATGTTATACTTACAACTGCAGACACTTGAACTTTGACTTGCTCTTCAGATTAAAAAAAAATACAAACAGTGAAAGTGGAGATTTAGGGAGCATTCACAACCAGTTGATCCTCAGACCAGCAAGTCCACAGACCAAATTGGAGATTTAGGGAGCATTCACAACCAGTTGATCCTCAGACTAGCTAGTCCACAGACCAAATTGGAGATTTAGGGAGCATTCACAACCAGTTGATCCTTAGACTAGCTAGTCCGCAGACCAAACGTGTCTTGACCCACGAAAGAGGAAACACCTGTTACTTATTCCTATCCCTGACAAATATTTAGAATTTTTAAAATTCTTTCATTTTACAAATGTAAATAAGACTTCAAGAGTGCACTGCCTTTCTTTTTGCTATATGGATGATACAGAAGTTGGAGGGGAAAAATGAGTGTTGTCCAGTTGAGCCCACACATACAGAAAGCGATTTAGGTATGAAAGAAGTGTCATATGTCAGCGTCCAAGATTGGTTCATGTCTTGCCACTTTGGGTGCAGAATTCATGTTGGAAAGTATCTAGCTAACAGGGTGTGGCAAAGCTTTCACCAGAGCAGAAATACTATGCCAGGTGCTTTTTCCTGCATGTCAAGACTACCTTGAAATGGATCACAAAACTCGGCCACCCTCCTCTTCTGTATCATCCTTTGCTGGTTGCAGGGCAACTGCATGCAGACATTTTATTCTTCAAATTTCCAGGATTTCTTTTGTAATATTTGCCACCACCATCTGGATGAATGGCTTGCTAACCATGGTCATGTCAGCATCAGTGTGGACACAGGAAGGGGACTTGCTGTCACCCACACTTGAGAAATTGATTTGTTTATGTTATGCAGTGTTCTTTCTAATTGTTTCGGGATCTGTATCTGGGATAGCGGTAAGGGGGTTAATTGTAAAGTTTCCAAATGATTCTATTGGTCAACACTGCCTAAAGTAGTTATTCTAGGGAGTGGGTTGCACAAAACCATCTGTAGCTAATTCTTACTCTGTATTCCATTTATTAAGTGTATTGGAAAGGGATATATTATTGTAGAGGGGCTCTGAAGTTTGATGTCATTCCTTAATGGAAGCTTTGTCAAACAGACTTCAGACGTTAGAATTAAATATCTGTTTATGTTAAGTAGATTTTTCTTGTAGGATATTTAAGATAGCAATGATTAAATTCTAGTTAAATATGCTATGCTGAAATTTGTCCATTTCTGACAATGTTAGTGATCAAGTAAATTACTGTATCCATAAAGAAGTTAATTATTCTCTTTTGATAGTTTTCAAAGAATTTGATGTAATTGACTTACTTTCTAAAAAAAAAAACTGCCATGTGTAATGCTTGGAAATATTTCATCATTCCAGCTATTTCACGCTACAAAGAACATTACCACAAATGAGCGAATTAATCACAAGAGATACGACTACATGAAGGATGGAAAGGGAAATTTCTACAATCCCTTTGATCGTGGTGTATGGCATAATATTAAGGAGTTCTTACACCTGAGAAAACCACTGGGGGAGGAGGAAGTCCAGTTACTTAATGTGGTGTGATTGTCCATTCATTGTCCAGGTGTGGAGAAGTTATGATGTACCAGGCAGAGCATAAACAGATGACTTTTGTCCAGGTGTGTTGAGGACTTGGGATAAACAGTATGCCAGTCATATACAGTTGTCAATAGTGGTAAGGACATATCAGTCAGAGCATTCTGGAGGTGAACAAAGCAAGAAAGCCAAATTACCCGACCTCTTTGTAACATCTTGGATGATAACACTGAACTTTTGTGTATGGAGGTTGAAAGGAAAAAAATATTCAACATATACAGAGTTGAAGAAGTGTATGGAATGGATTTTATTGGAAAATTGATAATGTTTTGATTTTGATATCAACATTTTCTTTGTGCAAACTGTCAGGCCAGGTGTATTTCAGTATTGTTATAATCATATGCCTGCTAAATAAGGTTTAAAGCATATTTTGCTAGTCATGTTAAACTAAGGTAGCTGTTCTTTCCAGTCTGAACTGCAGATGATGGAACTTATTGAGCAGTAGTTTTTGTTTGTTGGAAAATTTTTACTTTATTATTTTTTTTTTGAATATTAACTGACCTAGAGCTGCTTTGGGTTATCATGTATTTTTGTATTAAGCTATTTAAAAGTATTTTTTCCACCAACTTTTGAAAGAGTAACTCCCTCCCCCCCTTGTGAACAGGAAAATGTGCAATAAATAATTAAAAGCACATCTCATTAAGTTTATAGTATAGTATAGGTAAACCCATATCTCCTCATGTATACTTACCTAGTTAAGGTTTTGATAGACCACTGACCAACATAGAGAGTAAAGACATTGGTGAGTGAAAGCCCCTTAAAAATGAGAAAGAGAGAGATCTTAGTATTGTACAAATTTAGTCCCTCTTCCAAGAATTATTGATCTTCTGTGAACATATGCCTTATAAGAAAATACAACAGAAATGAGATGTAATTTAGAAATGTGTAATTTTAATAAATTAACGTCCTTAAAAGTTGCTGTTGTCTCTGATGTTTGCTGCAAACGTTTTATAAATTATAAAATATTAATGAATACGGTTTACTCTGGTTACATCAAGAAGAGTAACATATATACACCAGAAGTACCTCGAGCAATAGCAAAATGATTTCAAAGACCTACAAAACTATTTTTTTTAAATTTACCTTCCAATGGTGGAGGTATATGGGAGTGCAAGTTTTGCCATAATTAATATTTGTATCTAATCGTTTGAAAATGAACAATGTATAATGAATAATATAGACAGGGAATTGAAAACCAATCAAAATTTCATATGTTATTATTAATAACATTCAATATGTCCACCAAATCAACTGGCAGTTCAACACAACATATCTGCTCAGCAGTTAATTTAAAAATTGAGTATTGTATGTACACCATTTATATCAAATATTAACAGTGTAAATACATTTTAACCATCACCATAAAATTAATGCTTGAATCCAAATTCAATTTAACCATATTGAAACAGGTAAGTGATCCATCAAATTAAAGCAAATTTTAGGTAGAGCCTCCTGTACTCTATCTCTCCTTAATTAAAAGATTAAAGTCTTACAACTTCATCAATTTATTATTTACACTTTGTAGATACTTATCACAAACTAGAACACCTAAACAGATATGTATATATACAAGTAAATTCTACAAATTCTGCATTAAAATATTTCTAGCACCATAACAGCAGCCTGTTCTTGACTCAGTTGTGCATCGGAACATTTAAAAAAACTGAGTAACTTTCTGCACTTATTATACACATAAAATACAGAACATTTTCATCAGTTATATTGTTAAATATCTGTGCTGTTACAGACAAAAGGCAGTCACTGGTTACAAATAAAATGCCTTATAACTTAATATTTAATAATATATATTTAGGATTTGCTATAAAAATTATCACAGTAATACCACAACAGATCCATGACAGTTTTGTTACAATGCATTGAACACTTGTCTTGACAGTCACGATTTGTCTCATTAACAAAGTATCTATGTACAAACTGCTTGATTCAATAATATATGAAATTAGAAGGTAATTACAATCTTCTAAATATAAAAAAATATTCAAGTGATATCAAATATACTAGAATGCAGTTATAAAATGAAGAGTGCAAAAATATATATAAATATGATCTCCTTGGTTACTTATCACCTTGGTTACTGATCTCCTTGGTTACTTATCACCTTGGTGACAACCTTTTCCATCTCACTTGATATGGTACCAACTTTTTAAACATGCCAATAATGACACCAATGGTTACGACTACAACCCCAGCAATTATAGAGAATGTCCACCGTGGCCCTAAGTTCTGGTAAAACTGGCTGACAAAGATAGGTCCCAAAGTTCTGGCCAGACTTCCTGATGCTGTCAGCCAGCCCATCATTATACCCTGAAATGAGAAACAAAGATTTTAAATTCCAGGAAGTTTAAAGCAGCTGATGTGTATCACCACACACAGTATTAGGACATGGTCTTTTAAACCAGAACATGTATGACATTTCCTTAACTGATTACTCAAAGTCTGCCTTCTGATGAGAAGACAGACTTACCTTTAGTACCAGGTTTTCATAAGACACCAAGCTCCAGAAAGAGTTTAGTTCACCAAAACCAAAGTTAACCAAATCATATTAAATGGCATGCTGGCCATGGCATGTTTATCCTACAATATTATTACTGATTTTATATCCTCTCCTTTACATTATACAAGTTATGTACATGCATGGTTTACTGCAACCATTATTATTATTATTTTTATTATTTTCCTTTTTGTAAAGGCCATGCATCCCAATGTTGATAAGCTGAAAAATGATAGAGTCATATTGTTAACCTACTGCTACTGTATGTAGTACATGTAGATTTATTAAGCAACAACACAGAAAGTTCTTACAATATATGTAGTTAACCTACTGCTACTGTATGTAGTACATGTAGATTTATTAAGCAACAACACAGAAAGTTCTTACAAGTGATTTAAATTATCAGATCCCTAGCTGACACATAATAAAACTTTACAAACAAAACATACATGATTCATTAATTTGTATAAAGGCAAATAATAATATTAAAAAAAAAAAATCAAAACTATCCCCGATTCATACATTTATGTTAGGATAATGACTAGATTCAAATCATGACAAATCACCACACATCATAACATACAACAATTTGAAACAACAGATTAAGTTAGGGTTTAACAGACTCAATGGCAAACAAATTCACATTTAAAGGAATGAAAACATATTCCAATATTGCCATATGCATTGTGAAATGTCTTTTACTCACTCCTTGTTTTAACTAAAATTCACTTTTTTCAGTCTTACTGAACATATCCCTCTGAGTTTTCAAAAGCAGTGCGTAAACTATTCATTAAAGAGTTCATGACAGACTCAGAATCTTCACTTTCTAATTCATTAGAAACTGACAAATCTTGAAACATCACAGAGGAAACTGAGGTGTAGTTTCCCACAAAACCATCAGACTCTACTTTCAGTTTCTTCTCTTTCTTTTTCGATTCCCCAAAAGGGACCAGTCTGTGGAAGCATGCGCAAGTCGTAACCACAGCTACGAAAACAATGCCACAGACACCTACAAATGAGTAGCGTGGTCCCAGGAGAAAGTATAAATTACTGACAAAGAGAGGACCAAGAACACGCCCCAAACTGCCTGATCCTGTCAAACATCCCATCATAAGACCCTGCAAGCAGGAACAGATGTGTCAGTCTTCTATGTATCTATATAATAGAGATGACTGAGAGGGAAGGGGGGTAAGGGGGGGGGTGACATCATAAGACCCTGCAAGCAGGAACAGATGTGA